CCCGGCGGGGTCGCGGCTCCGCCCCTGCCAGCGGCAGCAAGCCCACCACCTGGGGATGGGCGTAGGGTGGCACTGGGACAGACGGAAGGGTGCCGTGCCCATCGCGGACCTGGCTACTGCCGGTGGGATGGGCTCGGTCCCTCGGGTGGCCCTAAACGGCCCTAAATGGCCATGCAGTACCTGCCCCGGTCGGACAGCTAATGGCCATGGCACTGCATAGGATCCAAGCTGTGGAGGTCGAGAGGGCCGTGCCATGTGGTACTGTGCCGTGCTGAGCCTGGCCATGCCATGCTGGCTCCACTGTGCTATGCTCACAATGCTGCTGTGCTGGCCATGCTGTGCTGTTCCTCAACGTACTGTGCCATGCCGTGCTGTGTCATACTGGCCATGCTGTGCTGGTCCTCAATGTGCTGTGCCATGCCGTGCTGTGTCATACTGGCCATGCTGTGTCATGCCATACCATGCTGTGCTGTGCCTCACTATGCCATGCCTTGCCAGGTCATGCCATGCCTCATTCCTGGCCATGCTGTGCCATGCCACGTTGTGCTTGGCCATGCTGAGCTGTACCATGCTGGGCCATGGCTCTGCTCACCAGACTGGGTGGCTGGTGTGGGGCTGAGCAGGTGGCCACGAGTAGGTCCCAGCGGGTGGTGAGCAACACCCAGCACCCTTCAGGCAAGCCTGGAAAGAGAGAGTGTGCTGACGTTTGCAAAGCACCTGGAGGCACGCTGGCTGGCCAGGCAGGTGGCCTCATACCTGCGGTGAGGTTCGTCACGGTGGCCGCCTCCGTGTCCACGAGCAGCAGGTCCTGGGAGGAAGCAGAGCACAGGGAGCTATGCACCATGAGGCACCCGGGCGCTGTGCCCCGGCCAGAGCCGCCGGCCTCTCCGGATCCCATCCTGCTCACCGTGCGGCTCCGCTGCGGGGTGCTGAGCAGGGCTCTCTGGCTGTCAGCTGCCCAGCACTGCGGTGGCAGCACGTCCGCGTAGATGCCAGTGAAGGCCGTGAATGGAGCAGGGTGCTGGTGAGTCAGGGCCGGGCCGGGGGCACTCGGTGCTGCAGTGCCCAGCTCCCCACCATGCAGCCCTCACCGTTCGTGGGCTCCTGGACCATGTCGAGCACCGTCACTATCAGCCTCGTGTGCCAGGTGAGCTGGGGAGAGGCAGCAGTCAGGGACAGGCACCCTGCCAGGGGAATCTGAGGCATGGCGGGGGGGGAGGGGGGCTGCACAGAGTTGAGGCCAGAGTGCCATGGGGCACCGTCTCACCCAAGCGCTCACCATGCACATGCTGGGACAGCAGGCTCTGCATCTGCAGCCCACACTGGGGTCAAACCTGCATGTTTTGGGGCCAGAAAGGTGCATGGGGCCTGCTGCCCTCCCCACCCCCTCCCACCCCCGAGTGCTGGGGATGGTTGTGATGGGACACACTGGCTCCGGGCACTGATGGGCAACAAGCGGGACAGGATGCCCATGCCGGGCCAGGCTCACCATGCGCAGCCGCAGGCACTGCCCGTGGGGACCCCCCAGCCCCCTCCAGGTACAGCAGGCACTGGCCATCAGGGCTGAGCCGTGGGGAGCAGGCGGCACGGTGCTCAGCAGACAGCAGCTCTGTGGGGCAACATAGGAGGTCAGGGTGGTGCAGATCCCCTGGTCCCAGGCAATTGGGGACCCAGAGCATCCCCAGGCCCCCAACCCACAGCCCCCCCATCACTCACCACAGTGCCTGCTGTACAGACCCAAGTAGAAAATACTCGACCTAGGGAGGAGGAGCAGGTCAGCTCAAAGCCCTACAGCCATGGCCAAAGTCCCCACCACAGACATTGTGGGCATGGCGCAGGGTGCTGGGGGCAGGACCCACCTCCTGTTGGAGCAAGCGCTCAGCCCCAGCCGGAAGGGCACATGCCACCAGCCCACGAACACCACGCCACTGTCATCGGGGGACCACAGGGCCTGGGCAGGAGTCAGGATCGTGACTTAGCCTGAGGGTGGCCCCGCAGCTCTTGTGCTCAGGGGGCCACCTGCTCCCCTCCAGCAAGCTGCTCCAGGCCATTCGCCTAAGAGCTCTCATCCCTGGGAGCCCTGCACTGACCTGCCCAGGAGAGACATCCTCCGGGACACCCTCCAGCACAGTAATGCTGCTCTCCTTGATGTCCAGCACGCAGAGGACGGGCATGCTGCGGGTGCTCAGTGCCTCCCCCCAGTCCTCATGGTATAGGAACTGCTCACCCTGTGACATGCACCCAGTCAGCACCAAGCCCGGCATGCCAACCCACAGGATTTGGTGCATGGCATGCTTGCGTGGCATGCGGCCCACTCGTTGGCTGCATGGCATGCTCATGGGACACATGGCACGCTCATGGGGTGCACAGCCTGCTCACAGGGTGCAGAGCCTACTCGCAAGGCGTATGGCATGCTCACAGCATGGATGGCACACTCACAAGGTTGCAGCACATGCACAGGGTGCATGGCATGCTCATAGGGCACATGGCATGCTCATAGGGCATGGGGCATGTCCATGGGATGCATGGCGTGCTCATGGGGCACATGGCATGCTCACAGGGTGCACCGCATGCTCATGGGACATGTGGCATGCCCATGGGGTGCATGGCATGCTCATGGGGCACACGGCATGCTCACAGGGTGCATGGCATGCCCATGGGGTGCATGGCATGCTCATGGGTCATGTAGCATGCTCATAGGGTATGGGACATGTCCATGGGATGCATGGCGTGCTCATGGGGCACACAGCATGCTCACAGGGTGCACCGCATGCTCATAGGGTGCATGGCATGCTCATGGGTCATGTAGCATGCTCATAGGGTATGGGACATGTCCATGGGATGCATGGCGTGCTCATGGGGCACACGGCATGCTCACAGGGTGCACCGCATGCTCATAGGGTGCATGGCATGCTCATGGGGCATGTAGCATGCCCATGGGGTGCACAGCACACACATGGGGCACACAGCATGCTCACAGGGTGCACAGCCCGCTCACAGAGCACACAGCATGCCCACAGGGTGCATGGCACGTTCACAGGTGCTCGCCACCCACCTTCTCCTCCTCTTCCTCCTCCACCGGCCCTACGGCTCTTGCACTATCCCAGCAAAAGAGGGGCCGTGACCTGGGCTGGCTCCTCTCAGCCACGTAGAGCAGCCGTGTCTCTGAGTGGGACCAAGCCAGGCAAGCAAAGGGGCCTGGTGCAGAGGTGTCAAAGCCTAGTGTTACGTGGGCAAAGCCAGGTGCTGGCCAGGCAGGTGCCCCGAACCACCAGCCATGCCCATCTCACAGCACCCTATGCTTCGAGGTGGGCACATTTGGGGAAGGGACCCTACCCTCCGTATAGGCTTCTCCATGCTTCCCCAGCGCCGTGAGGTCCACACTGCGGCTGCGGCCGGTGCTGTCCCACACCTGCGGCAAAGTGGGTGTCGGCACCAACGCACTGTGCCCAGGGTGCCCGCTGGCATCAAGCCACCCCAGCGGGCCCCAAGGATGGTGCAGCCAGAGGATGGGATGCCCCGTGTTACCTCCAGCAGCTCATGGCCCTGGCCAGGGCAGCGGGTGAGCACAGCGCGGTGCCACCCAGTGGGTGAGAGCTGGCTGAGTAGCCTGTGAGGGAGCAGGAAGGTCGGCAGTGAGTGGCGCGCCACCAGCACCAGCCCGCTTGCCATGCTGCCCTCCCCTCACCCCAGGCCAGAAGCCACCCCGTGTCATACTGGTGGTGGATCTCAGCGCTGAGAGCTGCCTGGCTGACGGAGATGGCGCTGCCAGGTGAGCAGTGCACACTGTAGTGACGGCTGAAGCACAGGCGCCGACGACGAGCCAGGTCTGGCTGGCTGCACTCTGCGGAGAGAGGGGCCAGGAGCGTCAGGTCAGCCGGCACAGGGAAGGTGCCATGGCCACACCGATGGAGTGACACAGGGGACAGCGGTGAGTGGTCAGGCTGATGTGCAAGCTGGCTGACTCGCCAGTGTAGAGGGGGAAGAT